GAGATGTGCTCATGTTTGTTTTTTTGTGTGTGTGTGCCAGTTAAAAAACATGCAAACCCTCTGGAGGTGAGCAACAGATGAAGCACTGACCCCTATAAAGTCCATTACAGTAATCCAGTCAAGTGGTAATGAAGGACTGGATTACTGCCTAAAAATTCTTTCTAGAAATTATCAGATTAAGATGAGCAAGTTATGACACTTGAATCACAAACTAATGATAATTTATTTCATTATTTTAAAATTGTTCATAAAAATCGATAAAACGTTGCATTCCACTGTTTGTAGGTGCTGTGGCGATACAGTGGGAACAAACCAGACACTTTAGGTTCAAACACTAAACTTTATGACTGGATTCCACAGAATGACCTACTAGGTGAGTAAAAAGCATTTTTTAAATCTTTTTTTAACTAAATAATTTACTGTAGTTCCACCCTTATGACCACAACTGCAGTGGTAATTTTTGAGGATGTATTTCTTTTGATCTTTTACCTAACTTGCTCAGCTTTATCAAAATGTAAAACAAATTACGAATGTTTTATAACTTTTGCTCACATCAGGTCACCCTAAAACCAGAGCTTTCATCACTCATGGTGGAGCAAATGGGGTTTATGAGGCCATCTACCACGGTGTTCCCATGGTGGGAATCCCAGTGTTTGCTGAACAACCAGACAACATGATGCACATGAAGGCCAAAGGAGTTGCAGCTAACGTTGACTTTAGGTCTTTAACAACTGAGGACCTCAGAAATGCAATCAACACTGTCGTCAATGATAAATCGTAAGTTCCTCTACAAGTACTCTCCAAAACTATTAAAGTTTACAGAATTATGAGCCATCAGAAACAGTTTGGTTTAAGTATTTACTGTCTTTCACACAGTTACAGCATGCCCACACTCCCTGAAACCACAAGTCTTCTAATGTCTGCCTGTATTTCAGTTCAGCGATACGTGTTGTGTTAATATACTAGAAAAAAATAAACAAAATAAAAATTATTTAAATCATCATTATATGAAAACAGCAACTGGCTGTTTGTGATTGTTTTATGATGTTATGCATCATAAAGAACAAGACTCACATAAAAAAAAGAAACTTGGTTACAAGAAGAAACTAATAGATTGCCTGAAAAGTTTAGAGCAGGACAAGGCTAGCAATTGGATTCTGTATCATA